GGGGGATGAGTAATAACTGGTCAGGTAGTAGACTCCTGTTAGATAAAGGTGGATGGAGGTAATAATCTGGTCAGGTAGTCGACCTCTGTTATCTAAGGGGGATGAGGTTGCATGCATCATACATGCAATGGCCCGATATTCCAGATTCGACTGTCCCTGTATGGCTCCGTCGGTAGAGCATGGCGCTTGCGACGCCAAGGATTGTGGGTTTGATTCCCGCTGGTGCACAGTCCGCTTCCGGAATAGAAGCATCTGCATAAACAACACATTTCTCAGTGTGACCTCTATGGCTGCATATACTACTGTGCTGATGGTTTCTCTGCCTCACACCTAAACAATACGTACTGTATCAACACTCATTACCTGTCTTGAACTATGTCATACACAAGCAATGGAATAATTAAACATCTGAGAAAGCATATTTATGACCTTGTAGGTTCATGTAGGGACCTCGTTATGTAGCCTGCTGTTGTGTTAAAACTCACTTTTTCTCTCACTTTTTTCCCTGCCTCACTCCCCCGCTCCCCTCGCCGCCCTCCCTTCCACTCTCCCCCGCCCTAGTCCCCCCCCTTCCCCCCACTCTCCCCCCAGTCTCCACCCCTTCCAACCTCTCCCCCCAGTCTCCCCCCTACTCCCCCCCTTCCACCTCTCCCCCCCTAGTCTCTCCCCCCCCCCTTCCACCTCTCTCCCCCCTATCTCACCCCCTACTCCCCTCCCCTTCCACCTCTCCCCCCCTAGTCTCCCTCTACTCCCTCCCTGCCACCTCTCCCCCCCCAGTCTCCCCCCTTCCACCTCTCCCCCCTATCTCACCCCCTACTCCCCTCCCTTCCACCTCTCCCCCCCCAGTCCTCCCCCCCTTCCACCTCTCCCCCCCTAGTCTCACCCCTACTCCCCCCCTTCACCTCTCCCACCCTAGTCTCACCCCCTCTCCCCTCCCTCCACCTCTCCCCCCCAGTTCTCCCCCCTTCCACCTCTCCCCCCCCTATTCTCCCCCCCTACCCCCCCCTTCCACCTCTCCCCCCCTATCTCACCCCCTACTTCCCTCCCTTCCAACCCTCCCCCCTTCCATCCTACCTCTCCCCCTAGTCCTCACCTCACCACCTCTCCCCCCCCCCTTCCACTCTCCCCCCCTCGTCTACACTCCGCTACTCCCCCCCCCCTTCCCCTCTCCCTTCTCCCCCCTAGTCTCCTCCCACCCTTTCCCCCTCTCCCCCCTATTCCCCCCCCGCTTCCACCTCTCCCCCTATTCTCAATCACCCCCTACTCCCCCCTTCCACCTCTCCCCCCTATTCTCACCCCTACGCCCCTCCTTCCACCCTCCCCCCATAGTCCCCCCCCCTTCCACCTCCCCCCTACTCCCCTCCTTCCACCTCTCCCCCCCCCTCGTCTCCCCCCCTTCCACCTCTTCCCCCCTAGTCTCCCCCCCTTCCACTCTCCCCCCTAGTCTCACCCCCGACTCCCCTCCCTTCCACCTCTCCCCCCCTAGTCTCACCCCCTACTTCCCCCCCTACCACCTCTCCCCCCCTAGTCTCAACCCCCTACTCCACCTCCCTTCCACTCCCCCCCCTAGTCTCAGATCACCCCTACTCCCCTCCCTCCACCTCTCCCCCTATTCTCACCCCTACTCCCCTCCTTCCACCTCTCCCCCCTATTCTCCCCCCCTACTCCCCCCCTCGTTAACTCCCCCCCTTCCACCTCCCCCCCCTAGTCCTCACCCCCTACTCACCCACTCCCTCCCTCCACCTCTCCCCCCCTAGTCCTTTTCCCTCCCCCTTCCACCTCTCCCCCCCATAGTCTCCCCCCCTATCCCCCCCCCTTTCCACCTCTCCCCCCCTAGTTCTCCCCCCTACTCCCATCCCCTCCGTCCACCATCTCCCCCCTAAGTCTCACCCCCATACTCTCCTCCCTTCCACCTCTCCCCCCCAGTCCCTCCTCTTCCCCCCTTCCACCTCTTCCCCCCATTTTCCCCCCCTTCCACCTCTCTCCCCCCCTACTCCCCGCCCTTCCCCCCTCTCACCCCTAGTCTCACCCCCTACTCCCCTCCCTTCCCCTCTCCCCCCCCATTCTCCCCCTCCCCTTCCACCTTCTCCCCCCCAGTCTCCCCCCACTCCCCTCCTTCCCCTCTCCCCCCCAGTCTCCCCCCCTTCCACCTCTACCCCCCTATTCCTCACACCCCTACTCCCCCCCCTTCCACCTCATCCCCTAGTCCCTCACGACACCCCTACTCCCCTCCCTTTCACTCTCCCCCCGTCTCCCCCCCTTCTACCTCTCCCCCCCTAGTCTCCCCCCTACTCCCCCCCCTCCCCCCCTTCCACCTTCCTCCCCCCCTAGTCTCACCCCCTACTCCACCTCCCTTCACCTCTCCCCCGTCACTCTCTCCCCTAGTCCACCCCCTACTCCCCCCTTCCTACCTCTCCCCCCCTAGTCTCAACCCCTACTCCCCCTCCTTCCCTCCTCCCCCCTATTCCCCCCCTTCCACCCTCTCGCCCCCTATCTCCCCCCTTCCCCTCTCCCCCTCCCCCCTAGTCTCACCCCCTACTCCCCCCTTCCACCTCTCCCCCCCTAGTCTCACCCCCACCTCCCCCTCCCTTCCATCCACCTCTCTCCCCCCCTAGTCTCCCCCCCTTCACCTCTTCCCCCCTAGTCTCCCCCCTTCCACCCTCTCCCCCCCTAGTCTCTCCCCCCCTCTACTCCCCACCCCTCCGCTCCACCTCTCCCCCCCTAGTCTCACCCCCCCTCTACTTCCCCCCCTACCACACCTCTCTCCCCCCTAGTTTCACCCCCCTACTCCCCTCCCTTCCACCTCTCCACCCCCCTAGTTCTCAAACCCCTAACTCCCCCTCCCTTCCACTCTCCACCCCCTAGTCTCACCCCCTACTCCCCCCTTCCACTCTCCCCCCCTAGTCCTCCCTCCCCCCAGTCTCCCCCCTTCACCTCCTCCCCCCCCTAGTCCTCCGCCCCCTACTCTCCCCTTCCCACTCTCCCACCCTAGTCTCACCCCCTACTCCCCCTCCCTTCCCCTCTCCCCCTATCTCCCCCCCACACCTCTCCCCCCCTATCTCCCCCCCTTCTTCCCCCCCCTTCCACCTTCTCCCCCTCCTAGTCTCCCCCCCCTACTCCCCCCCCTTCCACCTCTCCCCCCCTAGTCTCACCCCCTACTCCCCTCCCTTCCCCTTTTCCCCCCGACTCCCCCTTCCACCTCTCCCCCCCCTAGTCTCCCCCCTACTCCCTCCCTTCCAACCTCTCCCCCCCTAGTCTCCCCCCTACCTCCCCGCTCCCTTCCACCTCTCCCACTCATCCCCCCCTACTCCCCTCCCTTCCACCTCTCCCCCCTAGTCTCATCACCCCTCACTCCCTCCCTTCCATCACCTCTCCCCCTAGTCTCACCCCCCTACTCCCCTCCCTTCACCTCTCCCCCCCTCTCCCCCCCTTCCCACTTCTCCCCCCCTAGTCTCACCCCCTACTCCCCTCGGCCTTCCGCCCCCCCCCTCCACACCTCTCCCCCCCGTCTCCCCTCCTTCCAACCTCTCCCCTCTCCCCCCCTAGCCACCCCCTACCCCTCCCTTCCACCTCTCCCCCCCTATCTCCCTCTCCCCCTCCTTCCACCTCTCCCCCCCTAGTTTCCACCCCCTACTCCCCTTCCCTTCCACCTCTCCCCCCCAGTCTCCCCCTCCCCCCCTTTCCACCTCTTCCCCCCCTATTCTCACCCCTACTACCCCTACTCCCCACCCTTCCACACCTCTCCCCCCCCTAGTCTCATCCCCTACTCCCCTCCTTCCACCTTCTCCCCCCTGTCTTCCCCCCCTACTCCCCCCCCTTCACCGCTCCCCCCCTAGTCTCACCCCCTACTCCCCTCCCTCACCCTCCCCCCTAGTCTTTTCCCCCCCCTTCCACCTCTCCCACCCATAGTCTCCCCCCCTACCCCCCCCTTCACCTCTCCCGCTCCCCCCTAGTCCCCTCCGCCCCCTACTCCCCCTCCCTCCAACTCTCCCCCCCTAGTCTCATCTCCCCCCCTACTCTCCTCCCTTCCACCTCTCCCCCCAGTCTCCCCCCCTTCCCACCTTCAATCCCCCCAGTCTCCCCCCCTTCACCACCTCTCCCCCCAGTCTCCACCTCCCTTCCACCTCTCCCCCCCCCGTCTCCCCTCCCCTCCTTCCACCTCTCCCCCCCCAGTCTCCCCTCCCTTCCACCCTCTCCCCCCCCAGTCTCCCCTCCCTCCACCTCTCCCCCCAGTCCTCCCCCACTTCCACCTCTCCCCCCCAGTCTCCCCCGTCCTTCCACTTCTTCCTCCCCCCCAGTCTCTCCCCTTCACTTCTCCCCCCCTATTCTCCCCCCTACTTCCCCTCCCTTCCACCTTCTCCCCCCCTAGTCTTCCCTCCCCCTTCCACAACCTCTCCCCAATAGTCTCCCCCCCTACTCCCCCCCCTTCCACCTCTCCCCCCTAGTCTCGTCCTCCCCCCCTACTCCCCTCCTTCCACCTCTTCCCCCCCTAGTCTCCCCCCCTACTCCCTACCTTCCACCTTCCCCCCCATTCTTCCTCCCCCTTCCACCTCTCCCCCCCCCTAGGCGCACCCCCTACTCCCCTAGTCTCATCCCCTACTTTCCCCTCCCTTCCACCTCTCCCCCCTAGTCTCACCCCTACTCCCCTCCCTTCCACCCCTAGTCTCACCGCCCTACCCTCCCTTCCACCCCTAGGCTCACCCACCTACTCCCCTCCCCTCCCACTCACCCCTATCCCTCCTTCCACCCCTAGTCTCACCCCCTACTCCCCTCCCTTCCACCCCTAGTCTCACCCCCTACTCCCCTCCCTTCCACCCTAGTCTCACCCCCTACTCCCCTCCCTTCCACCTCTAGTCTCACCCCCCGCTCCCCCCTTCCACCTCTAGTCTCACCCCCCGCTCCCCCTTCCACCTCTCCCCCCTCTAGTCTCCCCCCTTCCCCCTCTAGTCTATACAGGATGGTCTAGTAACTAATAGTCACAGCTCTCCCTCCTCTCTAGCCCCAGTGCGCTGGAGGATGACGAGGAGGATGAAGGTCACACAGTGGTGGCCACGGCCCGGGGGATCTTCAACTGTAACGGCGGGGTGCTGAGCTCCATCGAGACGGGAGTCAGCATCATCATCCCCCAGGGAGCCATCGCAGACAGCGTGGAACAGGAGATCTACTTCAAGGTCTGCCGGGACAACAGCATTCTGCCCCCCCTGGACAAGGAGAAAGGTGCGTCTAGCGCTTGCCTTTGTATTATGTTTTCTTAATCATTATGCCCAGTGGATAGTATATCGTATTTTTATTTCTCTAGTAGTATTGCTGCCAACTCAGAACCCTGAAAACAGGGGTTCAAATCCCCTGGTCCACCTCTTAACTTCCATCCCTTTCAACAGTTTCCTCCTTTCTCAAGATCTTAAATATGAAAGGAGAGCAGAATATGAATGTCAGTCTTGCCTCTGTCTTATTCCATCCAGGAGAGACCCTGCTCAGCCCTCTGGTGATGTGTGGGCCTCACGGCCTCAAGTTCCTGAAGCCGGTGGAGCTGCGCCTACCTCACTGTGCGTCTATGACCCCTGATGGTTGGTCTTTTGCTCTAAAATCCTCCGACTCCTCGTCGGGTACGCTGTCCTCTATCTCTGTCCTTTTGGGAGTTGGGTCAGGGCTTCAGGTGGCTTGTGTGATTGGTTGGGGGGTTGGGTTGGGCTTGTGTGATTGGTTGGTGTGATTGAGGAGGGGTCACCATAGAGTTGGATACAGGGTACAGCTCCATTTTGATTCGGTCAGTCAAGTAAATGGAAATTCTAAGTCAATAATATATGTTTTAAAAAATGCATTGATATCTCAATAAACAGAATGAAGAGCTCTTAAATGTATTTTATAATTGTTTTTAATAATCACTTCCTGAATTGTATGAATTGAAATGTAATTGACCCCTGTCAAGGAGTGATCTGGCTTGTTCATGATCAATCTTTTAAATAATCTAATCTACTGGTTTCTACTGGTTCTATTGGTCATCTCCTGGTTCCCATGTTCCAGTCATTCCATTTTCTAGTCACAACATTCAATTTTCTAGTCACAACATTCCATTTTCTAGTCACAACATTCCATTTTCTTTATGGGGTTTTGCAACATTCAGTATTCACCTACTTCATTATTTCTGACAATAGTTACAATGTGAGGAATTATGAAATATATAATTTCTTTGCACCTGACATTGCTAATCCATTTTAAAGGCTTTGACGTTTGTAAGAAGCTGAATTTGTACACAGTATTAAAATGTGACAATATTTTGAGTAAAAGTAGTTCTGAAGTATTAAAAGCTATCGATGGTTTATGTACAGCATCTAAATATACATTTCTCACAAACAACATCGTATGACTGATGATTTTGTGTAAGTTCTCGTCAGCAGATGCTGTTATTTACGGTCTGTAGGTCACTCTTAACGTAACACCGGGCCTTCAAAACCAACGTAAAGAACCGCACACTAAGAAAGACAAATGACCGACCCGACCGACCGATAACTGTTCTTGTTTCTCTAAATCCTCCAGGTGACCCCAAGACATGGCAGAACAAGTCTCTTCCAGGTGACCCCAACTACCTGGTGGGAGCCAACTGTGTGTCTGTGCTCATCGATCACTTCTAAACAGAGGGAGACAGCTGGCCTGTTACTGAATGTGTTAGATAAGGGGACGGCTACAGACTTAAACGTCACCCCCCCCCCCCTCCCCTCTCCTCCCCTCCCCCCCCCCCCCCTCCCCCCTCTCCCCTCTCCTGCTGCTGTGACCCCTTCACCCTGTTGTCCCCCTCCCAGGCAGCAGGGGGCAGCACTGCTTGACTTGATGAAGTACAAACTTGATTCTTGAACATTGAACATTGATAAGTTGTTTATGGTGACCACCCCCCCCCAAAAAAGAAGTAGGAGGAGTCCCAGTGAAGTGGGAGGTGTCCCAGTGAAGTGGGAGGAGTCTCAATGTAGCATCCTATCCCAGTGCTGTGCTCTTTTTCCCCACCCACCTGTTTTTTTTGGTGCTTTAACTAAAGGCTTGCAAAAAATCTAAACTTTTAAAAAACGAAAATATATTATAAAAATGGAACTGTCGCTGGAATGCATGACCAGTGCCACAGACTGACTGAATAATAATCTCTTTTTTGCCCACATTTTGAGCAAGTTGCAAGAAAGAGGAACAAAAAAAAAAACCATTATAGATAATATTATCCTTATTTTTTTATTAATTGAATATTGCAACGGAAATTGTACAACTTACTGTATGCACTCACAAACAGAAAAGTTGGTATATGCAAAAACTTTTTTGTTTGTGAGGTTGTTTGTGGTCCTGCGTTTCGCTCTTAAGGATATCTGAGGACTTTGTAGCTGAGCATGACTGAAGGAAGATTGGTACTGTAGGCATCGTTTATGAAGATATTAAAAAACACTCAATACTGTATGAAGGTAATACTGAAGACTGAAGGTAATATATTGGCATGGGATGCCCCCCGTTTTGGTTGGTCTCTCCATGTTTAGAAGAACTACTGAATCTTTTGCAGCTATGGTTTTACCGTAGATAAATAAATGTAACTGACTTGATTTGACAAACTCCTCCAGCCGTCTAGAGATCTATGCATGTGCTTTGACTCAGGTCCAGAAGCATTGCTACTACTAAGTTCAAACACATTTACACTGCAAGCAGTGATGCCTTATCTGCATCTGACCTTTTTTTCAGGATAAAAACTCACTTAAAAACATCAGATCTTTAAGTTTTAGTGATTTATCAATTATGGAAGAAGTAAAAAAAAATATATATATATTAATATTTGAATAAATCTGCATTTTCAACCCATTGTATTAGTGAACTTGGATTTAGCGTACAATAATATTTGAGGCTGATGAAGAGGTACTGTTTTATTTTCCTGCTATGCATATTGAAGTTTCAGAGGAAAACATTAGAACGTTTAAATAGTGGCTGTATATAATGCTAGCATATGGCCTTGGTTCGCTTTAAATTCACTTTTGTACATCTTTGTTATTTTGTATGAAAGAGGTAAAAAAAAAAAAAGTTTCTTAAAAAAAAAAGAGAGAAAGTGATGATTTCATTGGTTATGTTTGTATTCTGGTTATACCTACCCTGAGCCTTGGAACTGACCTAAGCAGTAATAAAATACAATTTTTCTACCAACATATATACATACATACATACATACATACATACACACACACACACACACACACACACACACACACACACACACACACACACACACACACACACACACACACACACACACACACACACACACACCACTACTACTACTTAAAGGCATTTTTAACAGTCAAATAACTTTTTATTCTTATTTACAAAAATAGAAAAAGTGCTCGGTTTAAATCATTTAAAAAGCTCTGTACTTGAGGGGAGCGGTTTTAAGGAGCGGTCCTTCTCTCTATTTGTGATACAGGATGCTCTGTTCTATTGAAATGTATTTTTGTACTAATAGACAATTTATTATGGCACATCCGTACTATTTTCTTTGATATGATGATAACACTGCTTCAATCTGACACTACTTCTTTCTTTTTCCAGTGTGGCTGCCATTTCTTTTATTTATTTTTTATTTATGTTCAATGCTTTTTTTTCCACCCTTTGCAACACATTTCTAAGTATACCACTGTATTAATAAATAAAATCATTTTTAAAGTAGTGCTTGGTTTGAGACTTCAATCGTGAGAATATAATACGTTACTGAGTATTATTGAGGGGAGTTTGATTAAGCTGAACCGCGGTGCACCGGGCTATTGCCTGTGACGTGAACAGGAAAAAGAAGTGAGGGAGGAGCGACCTTCTCAAATCGAACAGTAATCTGTTCTGACTCAGTCATGTTGTCAACAAGGAAGCATGATGCATTATTCAGAAACATACATATATTTTCCATTAAATATATGTTTGCATTTTCAAACTACTTTTCACTGGGAAGATAGATAAAGCATTTGATCCAAAGCGATCACCCCAAAAAATCACTTGCATGTAAAAACACAGAATCCTACTTATTACTCCACGTGCTGAACCCACGTCACTTTTGTTTTGAGCAGACTTCGCCGTTGGCCAAAACGGAACCTGGCTCACGCCCGGGAGGCAGCCCGGTTCCAAAACAAATTCAATTAACACTAACCTGGTTCACCCAGGGCATTAATCGAATCCCCTCACTGATCTGGCAGTACGTTTCTCGCTTAAAGGGAAATTCCACTTTTCAACCTCATTTTCATTATCTCCAGCACAATACCAGTTTCTACATCAAAGGTGATTTTCAAAACACAGATTCGCGGCGACGTGGGGAGCAAGAAAATACCCTCCCTCTGACTAGAAACTCGTTGCAGTTTTTTGAAAATCACTTTCTTACTTTTAAATTCTACACGGATGTCAGTAACCAGGTTTATATACAAACTTTTTATGCGAGTATTGTACATATGGATAAAAAATGTCATGACAGGCCTGATGGAAACTTTTCAAATGTTGACAAAACCCAAATACACTAGACAAGGTGGGATCGACAAAATGAATTATGCGAGAAATGTCGGTGGAAACGCTTTTATGTGCAAATATTGATATAATAACCATCATATCGAAGTAAACTTGGAGTCACGTGATGACGTGTGGTCCACCCACTATGACTCGTCGGGAAAGCGTGCAGTTTATTAGGCTACAGATGAAATAAATGATGAACTTCACAGGGTGGTGAAAGTGCAAAGTGATGAGCTTGATGCTCCTTTCCAATATCGAGGGTCTTATTCTGGTGACATGATAATCGATGCTTGGCTGCCGTTCGACAAATAAAAAAGAATCTTGCTTTTGTCCATAATAATCTCATCATGTAGGCTATATGTATGCTCTAGCCAACAGCATGCAGATAGCGTGGGCGTGTTCGCTGACGCAACATATTTTGAGACAAACCCATCAGTAGAGTGTAAAATGCGATGTGTCGTAGTAAATATATAATGTTATAGCTTGGTCTGACTAAAATCTTGTGCATGACCCATCTTGTGTTGGGCCTTTGTATTTAATACAATGCACAAAGACTTCTATCTTGTCGGCCTTATCAGCAGGTGGCTATGGACAACACCCACGCCATAGGTCTCTCAGTCTCCTTTTGCTCTGAGG